TTGTTTCTAATTGTATAAAGCAGAGAAAATTGTATACATACATATATTTTTGTTGCCCTCTCTCTCCTCTTCCAGATCTCGCTCGCCACTCTCCCAAATCTCGCTCGCTACCCTCGCCTTTCTCACTTATACAAACAGAAGCGAAATGTATAAATTGCGTTTCTGTGTATAAAGCGTGAGAAAATTGTATATACACATGCAAGTACATTTATTTTCGTCCTATACACTTATAATTATACAATAAAAATACTCCCCTGCCCAGTTTCTTTTGCCTTTCTCTCTTTCTCGTTACATACAATTTTGAATTGTATCTAATTTCTCTCTTTCTCGTGTTATACAATTTGATTCAATTGTATATTCCTTGTCAAGTCTCTTTTGTCTTTCTCTCTTTCTCATTTTATACAAATTCAAATTGTATATAATCATTCTATACAATTATAATAATACAATTTGTTTTATACACTTTGTTTTTATACAGTTCTCTGCCCAAGTGTCTTTCTCTTTCTTGTTTTATACAGTTCGTTTCATACAATTTGCTTCAACTGTATATGTATAGCGAATTATACAGTTTTTATATTTGCTATGGAGTGCAATTACGCAAACTTTGTTATAGCATACAAATATAAATTTTTTATTAGCTATATGTGAAAGTTGCCCATTACTAATTTAAGAGATAATATGATACGAATGCTTGCGTAATTAGTTAAATGTTTTTTTTTTAATCTTTTAAAATAAAATAAATTTTGCAAATTGACAGGGTGAATCGTGATAGACTGGGCCGGGTCAGCCCAGCACGCCACTTTTGCTTTTCTCTGAGGTAACTGCCCAACGTACAGCTTGTTCCTTTTCCAAAATTTCGATCAATTTGATAATATACTCAATTTCAATACTGAATACAGAAATTCGTCCATCTCCATGGTGAAAGGCAGCAGCGCTACACCGGATAAGGGTCGGACTTTACCGGTTGACCCGAATCTTCCCCGGTACATCTGTCAGAACTGCCACAATCCCCTTTGCATCGCCGGCGTCGATAATTATGCCGACAAGTTTTTCCCTGATTCTTCTTATCGCTCCGGTTAGACCCTATTCTTCTTTCTCAAGCTATATGTATTCATTAATCGGACCCTAAATTATGGAATCGACTATGTTGATGCCCTATGATTCAATGTTTAGGAAATTGTGATGATTTAGCTAGCATTGCTGCAAATAGTTATGTGAATTGATATGTATTGGAGGTACTTACTGGGGTTTTGACCTTTTTTGGGGGTTTAATTTCCATATGCACTAAAAGTTTTTACCTTTACTGAATTTCTTGGTGAAGAAATTGTGGGTTAGATAAGGTTTTAATTGTTATCCTACTTAGTTCAATGGAGGTGGCGACATTTTGTGTTCAAAAGGTGTTTATTTTTCATAAAACGAATAGCTTCCATTTAAGCCCAGGGTCAATCGAAAACATCCTCTCTACCCTATTAAGGTCCCTATTAAGGTAAGGTAAGGTCTGCATACATTATGCTTCTTGAGACCTTACTAGTGGGATGACAGCGGGTATGTTGTTGTTGTCGAAATCCTTAGATTACTTGTTTCATAGATACTCATTGGAATTGTACAAGGGCTTCTTTTCTATAAGTTTAATGTCTAGAAGACCAGATAATGCATCTACTAGTTGCTGATTGGGAGTGTTTGTGCAGGGATGCAGGCCTCTTCAATTCATGGAGCTGGTAGTGCTATAGGGTCGACGAGCCGAATGGAAAATTCGTATGTTATGTTGCCAAAGCAAAGAAATCAGGGATCAGGAATTCCGCCTCGAGGACGAGGATCTGCACAGCCAGATGCAAGCCAGTTTGGGAGGGCCATGGAAGAATCATTTGTGGTTTTGCCTCCACCAGCTGCTTCAGTATATAAGTGTGAGCCTACGTCTGATGGATCTGGTACAAATCTTCCATCACCAGATGGTGGACCTCCAAATGCTCCCATGCAGTCAAACAATTCTGGGTTTCACTCCACCATCACTGTCCTAAAACGTGCATTTGATATTGCCACAACACAGACCCAGATTGAGCAACCCCTATGTCTTGAATGCATGAGGGTGCTGTCTGATAAACTTGATAAGGAGGTTGAAGATGTTAACAGGGACATACAAGCCTATGAAGCTTGCCTTCATCAATTGGAGGGAGAAGCAAGAAATGTTCTTAGCGAGGCTGATTTTCTGAAGGAGAAGTTGAAGGTTGTTAACAATTTTGAGTCACTTAAAGGACATCATAGTTTTCCCTTTATATATAAGAGGACAAGTAAATTAAGATGCCATGAATCCCGATCCAGCACAGTAGTGAAAACATAGACCTGTAAAAATATCTAAGCACCCTGAAGTCCTCAATCCTGGTGCTATCTGTTGAAAATGGGTCTGAATCTGAGCATATTACAAAGATAATATATTAGAATGAAATGAAACGAAGTTGGGGATAAAGAAAGCTGAGGCTTAGTACTTACTTTTTTTACAATCATGTCTGCTGCACGTTTATTCTTTTGTATTAAGGAGCATTTACTAACTTTAATGTACTTGATGCTGTTGAAGATAGAAGAAGAAGAGCGGAAACTTGAAACAGCAATAGAAGAAACAGAGAAGCAATGTGCTGTAGTCACTGCTGAACTGAAGGAACTAGAGATGAAGTCTGGCCGCTTTAAGGAGTTGGAAGAGCGGTAATTCTCGAATGACCTGGATTGCAATTTTTTAATTTTTTGGTGCAGTAACTAGCCTTCATAAATGTAGTTTAGGAGTTTGTCTCTCTTTCTAGGCCTATGTAGCTGTAAGAATTTTCTTTTCTCTGTTAATTGCTAGGATTCTTCTATCTAGAAATTGGTATGTCAGAGCCTCATTGAACTGACACTTTCAGATGAATTTCGAGAGCCCTTGGCCAGAAAACTTGGTGTCACTAAAGGGGGATTATTTGAAAAGAAGTCGACCTTAGGGAGACCATTCAATAAAGTAAGGTCGTAAAAATGGCTCATGGGGAGTCGGAAGCAAAGCATAATTAAAGGGGTAAGACAAACAAGTAGAGGACCTACACATATGGCTTCTTTTTGGTTGACCCATGAAGTTTTTAGTTTGTACTTTGCCAGAAAACTTGGTGTCATTTATAGAGAATTGCATTATGTTGTAGGTTTTATACTTTTTGATATATTGCTGATATACGGGTGATTTTTCATTCATAAAATTATCTTAATTCTTACCTGGCAAGAGGAAATTGCCGAGACCAAATAGCTTGAGATGGAGGCATATTCATTATTCTTGTTGTAGACTGTAGAATTATGAAGGAACTCAGAATAGGTTGGTAGTGAAACCTACAATTAAAAGAGTACCTGTTACTACATCCCGGTTTGGTTGCCTGGAACAAGAGTTCAATATAGTTCTCTATTAATTAAATTAGCTGTTTGAGATTACCCATCACTAATTGCTAATTGTTAGCATTCCTTTTATTTAACAGGTACTGGCAAGAATTCAATAACTTTCAGTTTCAGTTGATATCTCATCAGGTTTCTTGCTTCCTCTTCTCACCATGTGTCTGTTTGTGTGTGTCATATTTAATTTTCTTGTGAGCATAGCTTTGGTCATATCTCTTATAATGGTAGTTTGACTGTTCTTTTGCTTCATATTTCACATACTACCCCTCCCCTCTTTAGAGCTTTGTATATATTGAGAACAAAAATGTAACTCCATTTAGATGATTGGGGGAAATCTGACTCAATTTTTGGGATGGAAGAGAAGTATCTCCTCTTTTCCGGGGTGGTAGTGCTGGTGTTGGATGAAGCAATCCCTTTTTAAGAAGTATTTTTGCTGCAGGAAGAGAGAGATGCAATTTTAGCTAAGACAGAAGTTTCACAAGCTCACTTAGAGCTGCTAAAGCGGACTAATGTGCTCAATGATGCATTTCCAATCTGGTATGATGGTGAATTTGGAACAATTAACAACTTTCGTCTCGGAAGACTTCCTAAAATTCCGGTATGTTACTTTAATTTATTTGGATATAATTGTCTGATTCCTAGTAGATAAATTCAGTATCATGATTTGCTGTAGTATCTGATATTCTATACTGAAATTGTATTTCTTTTAAAGTGCTTCCTCACTGTATTAGATTAATGTTAAAAATATACTTAATGATTATTTTAGTTGGTTTAATTGGTTGGAGAAGGAGTTGAGTAAATTTTGTAGTTGAAGCAGAAATAGGTCTTGGAAATTGGATGAGGGAGTAGAACCTCTGTTTAGGGAATTATGAAATATGTTACCTCTTCAATTTCATCTCCTGTTCAATACAGAATCTGATGAAAGGAAAAGGAGAAATAGCAAGTACTACAGAATTTAATTAGTTGAACTCCATGCAGGTGTATGAACTGCTATGTTTCATTTATTCAGAGTTTTGATATGATAGCAGCTATTTATTTTCCATTTTTTATATTTTAATTTATGAACTGATATTTTGTGCTACACTTCAAATGGTAGAAAGAGTTCATTTTTAGCTCTATGATACTGTATGTTGAAACTTCTTGTCTTGTTGGGTTTTTTTTCTCAACATAAAAATACTCTCATTTTTTACTGTTTTTTTTTTGTTATCTATAATGTACAATTTTTGTGATACATGCTTAGGTTGAGTGGGACGAGATAAATGCAGCATGGGGTCAAGCGTGCCTTCTTCTCCATACAATGGCTCAGCATTTCCGACCAAAGTTTCAGTATCCTTGTACATCTATTTTCTTGTTTTTGAGTAAAATATCATATAATCCGTGATACCTTGATCGATCGATCGAAGCTCCAGAACTATCTTGTATTGCCTAGTTTGTTTATTAGGACGCAACTCCCAGCCTAAGTATTTTTATTTTTGAGTAAGAACTCTCAGCCTAAAAAGTATTGGAGCTTATGGCGTAAGCTGTCTCAGATACCATTGTTATAAAGAAATAACTATTGGTACTTAAGAAATATCCTTGCACAGGTTTAAGGTTTTGAGCTCAGCTATGGCACAATTTGCTACTGGAAGGTGAGCTTTGATGCTATATTGCTCGGATTTTTAAGATGTCGCCCGCTACGTGTTGGATCTTCCAAAAGTTATGATGTATTTTTGGAGTATCTAACATGGGTGCGGTGCTATTATTGGAGGATCCCAGCAAAATAACGATGTGGTCAATAGGACACGAGTGAACTAAAGGTTCAAATATATAGAGGTTAAACGGATTTTTGATCCCTCTTGAGACTAGAATAAACTGAGAAAGAAGTTAGTTTGATCTTGTCATTGTAAACTCGAATTTTGAGAGTCCACTGGTTGATTCAAATGTAAAGACGAAAGCTACTATGAAATGACACTTGACTAACAAGAGCAAGATTTTGAGAGAACTTTCAATGTGTTTGACTATTTAGCCACAAACTTGTCAAACAAAAGGAAGACGTGACTCAAGGAAGTTCGTTTACCCAATTGTCCTTTTAATGTTATTGGCTATTTCAAGTATTCCTAACCTAGAACCCTTTCAGGTAGACTTTTAATTACTTCAGCTCAAGTTGCAGTAATCTTGTTCGAACTAACTTTCACGAATCAGTGCACTCTCTATAACTCAATTGTCCTTGTTCAGGTTAAAATTTTGTACCTTAAATATTCTTGACTTTAAATGTACTATCGTGACAGATCTAGATTATGTTCTATCAGAGGTGCATAATGTTTTTATTGAATCTTTTTGACCTCACCACTCGAATTAGTGTATAGTCCTCTTGTTGAATTCTATAATTAACCTGTGTATTTTTTCAATCCAATCCAACTTTTCTTATTCAAGCCTTCATTCTGACATGTTTTTCAGCAGGGTCGTTACTAGTCTTCATGCTGTGGTTTGTGTTCATACTTCAAAAGATTTTACAACTTTGGCTCCATTCCTAAAGTTCAAATTTTGTTCTTTTCTTGCAAAATCATCAATCAGCTAAGGTCTTGAACATATTTGGGGACTTAGAATATGTTCTTTTCAAGTAAAACCTTTAAATAGTCGATATTGAACCAACTTGATTACATGGAAGACAAGGGTTCTTTTGGATGTTAAAGAATCAGTGGGTGCAAGTCATAGATGTGGGTGGAATAGTTTTGATATTTCAAATCTGGAGTATAAATCAATAGGTCAAAAGGTAGACACTAGAATATAGTGCATTTTTACCCATTAAGTGTAGTGTTCTTGCTGTTTTCTGTCGATTGTGAATCCTTGATTTTTCCTTACTAGATATCGGATAAAAATTATTCCTATGGGAAGTTATCCTCGGATCATAGACACCAACAATACTACTTATGAACTGTAAGCTTATCCTCTACTTTTTCGTCTTAAGCATTTCTATCCAAAAATATCAGTTACCATTCTGACAATTTAATTCAAATAAGCTAATATCAGGTGGTGGGTGAATGATGCAATAATAACCATAGTCAGTATATGTAGGATGGGTAGTCTGTTTCCTGTTAATATGATTTCATTGTAATACATTGAGCTTTCTACTTGGTAATAGTGAATCAGATGTATGAACTATGAAATCACTTCCTGGCGGCTGGTTTTGTTGCATTTTCCTTTCCAGTTATCTTAAATACTTTAACAGTAACAGACATTGTTTGTGATTTTCCAATTGTAATCTTTCACCTTTTAAAATTAGCTAATATGATCCCTTACTCTTTTGAAGATTTGGCCCAGTAAATCTCTTCTGGAGCACACGGTATGATAAAGCAATGACATTGTTCTTGATCTGCCTAAAGGAGTTCTCCGAGTTTGCAAATTCAAAAGACAGGGAAAACAACATTCGTCCTGATAAATGTTTTAAGCTTCCTTACAAGTAAGCCTCTGCATATTGAAGAAGCTTAATTCTGCAATACTTAGAAGCTTCAGTGTTTCAGCATAATGTTTTATCATGAATTTCAGATTATATTTTTCTTAGAATACATTGCTATTGGGTAATTGGTTGTCAAAGTTCCCACAAAGAATAGCTTGGTAGATTTTGTTTTCATTTTGATGTTTGCATGTGTCCATCTTATTTCCTTTTTATATTTTTGGGTTGGTAATGGAGAGGTTTCCGTGACTTGGCAGTTGGCGTGGTCATTGATGTAAGAGTCTATAATACATTAATATGTCTTAGACAACTGCATGGAACCAGTGGGTTAATAAGTGAGAGTTGAACAAATACCAACATGTAAGTGAGCTAAACTTATGGTTTTTGGCCATAGCTAGAGCCACAGCCTTATTCAGTTAGGCACATTTGCGAAGTACTTTTAAGTCATTGCTATTATTTTGTACTTCACTAATTTGTCTTGATTTTTGAACTACTGCTTTGATGGGCGGATGTTGAGCTTTTTATTAGAAATTTATTAGGATGTACTTATTGGACGCCACAATTGGACATGGATAACTTGACTGGACTATAGATATAGAAATTGCATTCTCCATGAAAGTTCTCGTTTGATGTATTAGTATTATGACTGTTGCGTAACTGTCTCGGGCTTTCTTGCAGGATTGAAAATGACAAAGTTGAAAGTTACTCCATAACCCAGAGCTTTAACAAACAAGAAAATTGGACCAAAGCTCTCAAGTACACACTCTGCAATTTGAAGTGGGTGCTCTACTGGTTTGTTGGTAACACAAATTTCCAGCCACTTTCTGGAACAGTCTCTTCACAAGCTGAAGTTCCAGCTGCAGCAGGATCACTGTACAGCAAACAACCAACTAATACCAAGTTTCAATCTTGAATCACTAATAACAACTTCTCCCCTCGTTCTAATCGTGTCGTAAGTAGACAAGAAACTCAAATTATATGGATGCAAAGCGATCACTTGTAATATTGCATCATTTTATTTATTTTCTTGTCTCCTTGAAATAGTTTGGCGTTGTATATATATATATATATATAAATACCAATATAGCTATGCATTTATAAAGTGCATTTGGTTTACATAGGAGTTTATCAATGGAGGAATTAGAAAATTGAACTTGTGATAAATTTGTTTGAATCATGAGGGGTTTACAATTTACATAGGAGTTTATCAATGGAGGAATTAGAAAAATGGTTTATTGGTTCGAATCATGGGAAGATCATGAAATTTCAAATTCAAATTCTACTAATATTACTTCCTCCATATCAATGAGCTTTCGAGATTTAAACAAGTCTTTCTTTGATCGTAAGTTTTTTTTATAGATCTCTTAAACATTTTAAATCAATTACTAAGACATAATATATTTTTACCTAGTTTACATAGATATAAATTTCACTTCAAAAAAATTTGAGAATTCTATGCGCAATTTTTTTATTAAAATTAAATTATTTAACTCTCGAAAAAATAAAAAAAATTCACATAAATTAAGACATTAGGAGTAGGTGATATCTTCCATCTATACTTTGTGTGACAAAGCTAACCCATACATCACAATTATCTAAAAGATTTAATTAAAAGAGTCTTACAAAGTTTTACACCGATCTCTTAAACGAAACAATCTCTAATTAGCGTATCCAAATCCTTTTGACTATTCTAAGATTTAGATGAAGTCTAAGAACTGTTATGCACATTATGGCTCCCTTTAATAATTTTTAATTACTTCTCATCTCACCATAGGGTTTAACTCTAATGCGTGGAAATTAAACACTTAATTACAATGTTTTATTCGGGGCTTGCCCTGGGGCAGGGCTCTAGCAAAACGCTTCGAGACTCAAGTGTGAGACTTAGTTCTACAAGACTTACGCCTTAAGTGTCTGACTGTACGTCCTAAGCACGCCCAACGCCTAATGCTCGAGACTCGCCTAAAAGATCTTACACCAATTATGTGTTAAAGTATTTAATTAATATTGTTGACCCTCATAATTTTCAATAAATGAATGTAGGTAACTTTTTAATCTATAAAGATAACAAGATTGAGAGTAACTCAAGCTAGATAAAAATACGTTAAATTACGTTTTTTGTTTAAATAAATTTTATTCTATATAAATTTAGATTAACCCGAGATCACACAAAGAGAACGTGAATATACCACGATTATAAATATGTGATAAGGGGATGAAAGAGTGATGTTTATACTATAAGTAGTTTTCGGAAGGTGCATCGCACGTTTGTCCTCTAATTGATATTAGAAAACTTTAATTTATATAGCTAAGTTCAAATCTAAGTCCTTTCATATGTAAGTTTAACATAAGAATATAACTCTGCACAAAATATAACATGAAAATATTGTGTTAGATGTTGGAGGTTTGATATATTAAATACTTCATGAAAAATAAACATTTTATTTTATTAGAGGAATTAATATATTTTAATAACTAAACACATAAGTTTTAATAATCAAAAAAGAAATTGTCTATAAAAAATAATACGTATAATGAAAAATATTACAAAATGTTTTGGCGGTATACCATCAAATTTATAGAAAAAATTACAATTTCAAACGAAAAAAAAAGAAGTAAATAAAGACATAACATTCATAATAAAAGACATCACATTAAAATATATAGAAAAAAATATTTTCATACTAATTGAATTACATTTTGTAAAAAGTAGACTTACTCTAGACGAAACATATCATATGTATAAAAAAACTATAATCATATAATAATAATAAATAAGACAAACAGAAAAGAAGGCATGAATATGTTAAGAATAAAGATAAACTCTCTCTCTCTCTCTCTCTCTCTCTATATATATATATATATATATATACACACACACACACACACAATATTATTCAATGTATCATTTAGTCATTTTTTTACTATATATTATTTTTTATTTTATTTTTACTTTTGCACTTATTTTCTACCTCTATATAACATTTAAGTACATGAATTTTTTAACATTTGAGATTACATATAATAAAGAAAAAGTATAAATATGTTGGTTTAAAAAGATAAATGATTATCAAACAATAAAAAAGACATAATTATTATTCTATGAGATTTAAAATGTTTACCCTCAAATTAATTAATGATAAATACAAAATGTGATTAACTTTACTATATATATCCTAAAAATAGAAGAAAGGTTGAATACAAAAATACATTAATCAACTACGAAGTTATATTTAAAAACTCAAAACGATGGAGACATGAAAAATAAATATTTATTTACAACTTCATATTGGAGTATATTCATCTTGTAACTATCATAATTTACATATTTCTCAATAAAAAGAAAATGAATATGTATGAAATTTTAAAGAATACAAATAAATAAAATAGTAAGAATTTTTATAATTACAAACTGGTAATGAAAATTTTACAAGGGATGTAGACTAACCTACTGTAGAATGCAAGATGATTACACACTTGAATAACACAAGGAACATAAATCATGTGGTATGAGTATGTTTAATAGACTCTTCACTAACCTCCGCTTATCTTACAAATTAAAATTGAAAGGTTATTAAACTCTTCATTATCTACATTTAATTAGTACATGAATATATGATGCATTAAGATCTTATTTGATGCATGAATTTAAATATAACTTTTACTTAATATTTAATTGTTATAAATCTATTGAATAAGTGTATAGTCCATAAAGTTAGTATATGAACAACCATTCATATTCACTAGGTTACATGAACCTTTTTGGATAAGAATGTATCTATTTATTATGATACTTAATACGGTGACCTTTGGAGTGATTTCTCACTCTATAAATAGGGTTGTTCATTCATTATTGTATTATATACATATGAAACTTACATATATTTGAATAAGAAGAAAGTCTTCTCCTACATCTACTTCTCTTGTCTTCTTCTTATAATCTTGATTTTATAACACGTTATCGGCACGAGTCTCTGCCAGTTCAAGTAAAGACTTTAAAAGCCTCGGAGGTATGAATTTCTTTTTTTGAAAATAATGTATAATCTTTCTAAACTTGAATTTCTTGCTCTAGACATCTCGGGAAAAAACTATCTATCATGGTCACTCGATGCAGAAATTCATCTTAATGCGATGCATCAAATCAAAACCGTGCTAAGGCGATGATATTTCTCCGTCATCACCTTGATGAGGGTTTGAAAATGGAATATCTCACTGTTAAGGATCCTCTGTTGTTGTGGAACAATTTAAAAGATAGATTTGACCACCTGAAGTTGGTCGTCCTTCCACAGGCACGTTATGACTGGATCCACTTGAGACTTCAAGATTTTAAATCTATCAGTGAGTATAACTCTTTTATGTTTAAAATTATTGCACAATTAAAATTATGTGGAGAAAATATCACTGACCATGATATGCTGGAAAATTTTTTTTTCCACTTTTCCTGCCTCGAGTATGCTTTTGCAGCAGCAATACCGAGAAATGGGATTCAAAAAGTATTCCAAATTAATCTCACATCTCCTTGTTGATGAACAACATAATGATTTACTTATGAAAAACCATGAAAGTCGACCTACTGGTTCTATGCCATTTCCTGAAGTAAATATGGCAAATTTTCACCAATCTAACCGTGAAAAACGTCGTGGCCCCAGTCGTGGCCGTGGTCGTGGTCGAGGAAGAAATTTCAATCATGGTGATCGTCTTGCACTAAATAATATCCTTCAACACCAGCAGTGTAAAAAGAAGAATGAAAAACATGACGTAGTGCAGAAGAAAAATTCAGACAACAAATGTTATCGATGTGGAGGAAAAGGACATTGGTCACGTACCTGTCGTACGCCAAGGAACCTGGTTGAGTTATATCAAGCTTCCCCCAAGGAGGTGAAAAATAACGCAGAAGCCAACTTATCACGGAAGATACTGTTAAACCCATGCATCTAGATGTATCGGATTTCTTTGAGAATCCCGAAGGAAAGATAGATCACCTGATAGGTGATGGGTCTGTGATCATGTAAATATATTTCATTTTCGTCGTTTATAAAAACTAGTATTAAATTTTTTTCTGACCACGAATGGGGCCACGACCTTTTTCATGCTTAAATTGGTGAAAATTTATCGTATTTACTTCAGGAAATGACATAGAACCAATAGATCGACTTTCATGGTTTTTCATCAGTAAATCATTATGTTGTTCAGCAACAAGGAGATGTGAGATTAATTCGGAATACTTTTTGAATCCATTTCTCGGTATTGCTGCTGCAGAAGCATACTCGAGGCAGAAAAAGTGGAAAAAAAATTTCAGCATATCATGGTCAGTGATATTTTCTCCACATAATTTTAATTGTGAGATAATTTTAAATATGGAAGAGTTATACTCACTGATAGATTTAAAATTTTGAAGTCTCAAGTGGATCCAGTCATAACGTGTCTGTGGAAGGACAACCAACTTCAGGTGGTCATATCTATCTTTTAAATTGTTCCACAACAACAGAGGATCCTTAACAGTGAGTTATTCCATTTTCAAATCCTCATCAAGGTGATGACAGAGAAATATCATCGCCTTAGCACGGTTTTGATTCGATGCTTGATTATTTTGTTGGATGGTGTCTGCTAGACCCATCACATCAAGATGAATTTCTGTATCGATTGCCCATGATAGATAGTTTTTTCCCTATATGTCTAGAGCAAGAAATTCAAGTTTAGAAAGATTATACATTATTTTCAAAAAAAGAAATTCATACCTCCGAGGCTTTTAAAGTCTTTACTTGAACTGGCAGAGACTCGTGCCGATAACGTGTTATAAAATCAAGATTATAAGAAGAAGACAAGAGAAGTAGATGTAGGAGAAGACTTTCTTCTTATTCAAGTATATGTAAGTTTCATCTCTTTATATTACAATGTGAATGAACAACCCTATTTATAGAGTGAGAAATCACTCCAAAGGTCACCATATTAAGTATCATAATAAATAGATACATTCTTATCCAAAAAGGTTCATGTAACCTAGCGAATATGAATGGTTGTTCATGTACTAATTTATGGACTATCCACTAATTCAATAGATTTATAACAATAATTAAATAGATATTAATATTAATTTATTTTAAAGGTAAAATAAGGGT